CTGGCGCCGAGCGCCCGGCCCCACCTCTGACTCACCTGTCTACCCCCAGTGCTGAGCCTCAGGCCTACACAGGCCGATTGCTTATTGGATGTTTCCTTACCCATCGGAGCCAAGTTGCCTTCCACCCCATCTCTCTTGCAAACTCTTCTGCCCCAGAGTAACTTAACAGCACTTCCTGCCCAGGGCTTCCAAGCGCCTTTTTAGGTCTCCTGTGACTTTCCTGAAAGTGTAGCAGATGCTTCTCTGCTGATGATGAGAGATTCAGACAAACCACTTAATGATTAAGAGACTAGAAGTGTTCTCTAGGAGGTGGGGAAGCCTTGTTCTTGCTTTCTCTGCCTGCATTCCCTGGGTGGACCTAAAGGCTTTGAGCCACTTGTTGCCTTTTTAGGAAGAAGGGGGTGTAGGGTGAGCACTGGAGAAAAGCAGAACATTTAGAGGCACGGACTGAAGGAATGGAGTGTTTGGACTTCAAAATGAAGTTGCTAGATTCCTTGAGCCACACAGTGGACAGTGCTTGAGCATCCTTGGGCGTCTTGGGTGATGGTTGTTGATGGCTGAATCTTCCAGTTTGAATAGTTAGTTCTCAAGGCTGACAGGATAGACCGTCTAGTGCAGTCTCTTCATTTTACACATAAAAGCTCAAGGTCTCACAGCTAATTTGTGGCAGAGGGACTAAAGCCCAGGTCCCTTGACTGGGCAGCCCACAGCTAAGATTTTTCCTACGCCTCAGAGTATGTGGGCACACCCAGGAGAAAGAAGTGCTCTAACCAGCTGTGGCGGGTGGGCTGCTGTGAAGCGGAGCTATGCTGCCACGGAGGGACGGGGCCCTTCAGAACCTCACTGCTCGGCACCCTGAGCGCTGTGGCCATGGAGCGTGAGACTGAGAAGCAGCAACGACAGATGGACAGGCTCCTCCAGGAGACAATGTCCTGGCTCTCCCTGCTGTGGCAGTAGGCCCACCCTTTCAAGCACCGGCTGAGGCTTTGAGTGCATTGCTGTTGAGCTCAGATCTACCTTATCAGCCCATACGTTGGAAGTCAAGAGGGGCAAGCTGGTTTCCGCTACTTTCCAACAGCTGTGACCTCTCCCGCACCAGGGAGCTCATTACGAGCCAGAGGCCCTAGGGCGGCCTCTCCAATAGCAGGTAGAGGGAAGACAGTGAGGCGCAGGCTGTTCTGCAGCACCTTGTCTCCCTAGTTTATTAACGTCCAAGGTCTCAAACATTCCTAATGAGGATAAAAGGCTAGAAAGATGCGTGGAAATGGAGGCTGAACCCTCCTGGGTGGAAGGCAAGACACCAAGAGGGACTGTCCCCATGGGACTGAGCTGAGTCTCAGCTTCCCAGAGAGGGAGGGTGGCTACCAGGAGATGCGACTGCCTCTATTTGCTTAGCTTCCACCTCTCTATTACTCAAAATTAACCAAGTTATTTTGCTTTGTCAATAACCTAATCCTCTGCTGCCTGCCTGTGCAGGGACAAAATATTCCCCTCCAGCCCCTGAGCCAAGAGCAGTCAGCTTCCCAAAGGCCCAAGGAGGCCCATTCACCCACATGGAAGCTCCCAGAAAGAGCTCCAGGTCTCCTGGCCCTCTTTCTTCTCAGCCCCATGTCACAGCATTGTCCTGAGCCCAGTCCCCTTGTCTGTGTGGGCAAATTGATGGAAGATGGAGGTCGCTGTTGGGCGCAGGGCCTGGGGACTGCACACTGCACTACAGATCCAGCACTCAAATACCTCCCCTCCACACATGCACAATCCTGAGACAGGACAGCCAGAGGGGGCCCTGCAGAAAGATGGGGTCCTGTTGGCCGAGATCCCCTGGAGGGAGCCATCCTGAGAGCAGTTCCTAGAGTCCTCAGAGATCCTCTTTCCCCTGAGGGATCCCTCCAGGCCTAGGCAAATCTCCAAAGTCTGTAAACAAACCACTCAGACTCCCCTGGAGGAGACAGAATTAGGGTAGCAGGGGGTGGGGGTGGGGGCTCTGGCAGCCACAGCATTCATTTGTGTCCTCTCAGAGGAGCTGTTGGAGCTTCCTGCATTCTTCCCAGGCTCTGACTTGATCATCACACCAGTCTGGAGAACCATCTCTGCTAGGGTCCTTCTGCCCAAAATTTAACCACCCCTTTCTGCAGCCAGTGCTTGGCAACTCTAAAGCACAAGTTGGTGAAAGGCAAGGGCCCTGCTACATGCTGCAGAAGGGTACCGCTGTGTGGACTCCTGGGAGTGGCTCAGGGGCAGGAAGCCCTGTGGGGGCCCGGAGGAGAGGCTCACAGTGGGATGGACTCCAAGCCAGGGTCCTTGGGAGGACACAACCTTGAGCCCTACAGCAGCAGAAGGATTGTCCCGCAACAGGAAGGGGAGAGGCACATGGGAAAATGTGACCTGAAATATGCCAGCCACACAGAGCAGAGGGTTGGCAGAGAGAAAGCGGCTGGTTGTCAGGTCAGAAAGTGAAAGAGAACTCCAGATGCAAGCTAAGAAGCCAAACCAGGAGGCCACCGAGGGCAGATGAGTAGCAGGACCACTGGGGGCTGGAGCACTCGCTCTTCCTGCAGCCTGGGCAAGTTCCTTCATTTCAGGAAGCATCTGTCTTTTGTGTGCAATGGGGACAGGCAGGACACCTACCCTGGAGGGCTGCATTGGACTCACTGAGGGCCTAACAAAGAACTCAGCCAAGGGCCTGGCATATGTTCAGGAGGTGCTGGTTCCTCTTGCATGTGCTGAGAGAGTCTGAAAGAACTTCTGTCACTTTGGACCAGATCAAGCTTTGGTAAAAACAAAGGGGAGGGAAAAAAGAGAGCTGGGCTGCTTGTACATCAGTGCCTCTGTCAGAAATGGACCATTCTGCTAGATGTACCAACCCATCTGATCACTGCCACAGGAGAAGGAAGTCACCTTCCCATAGTACCATGGCATGGGGTGGATGTTGTGTCTTCCTCCCTTGAAGAGGGGACTAGGAAGATAGGAGATGCCCCTGAGGAGGACAGGGCTCCTACCCCTTGCCTGAACTGGTTGCATCCTACTAGACTATCTGTAGGGGCTGGGGACTGTACACTACCCACAAAGCCCGTGCCTCTGGCAAGTGCTCAGAAAGTGTGAATGGATCACCCAATGAACAGATGGATGCTGTGTGCTCTAAGGTACAGAAGAGTCAGAGCTGCCTTGAGATACTCCCTAGGTGAGCTGGCAGGGGCTCTGCTCAAGGTGAGTATGAGAAGCGCTGGTCCAGCTAGCCAGGTAAGGTTTTCCCACATGAATAAATGCAGGGAATGATGGTATCAATCCCTGCTTCAGAGAACTGCTGTGATCTTCCAAGGCAGAGATGTGCTGTGTGCAAGCACCACAAGCCTTGTCTCGCATCTCTGGCTCTGTGGAAGCCTAGAGTTGTATATGCTGGAGGAGGTTGTGACTATGGGGTGTCCGGCTCTTGCCCCAGCCAGACCCCTTGCTGGGAAGCTGGGGGTAGCCACCTTCTGCATACCTCCTGAGATTAGATTGGGGTTGACCAGGTAGATGGACAAAACACACACACACACACACACACACACACACACACACCCCACAAACAGAGCTATGGCAGGGCAGGTGTCAGCGCTACCTGGAGGTGAACATTGGGACCACATCCTCTGGAGGGGACAGGGTGGATGTTGGCTAATTCTCCAAGCAGCGCAGAGATTGTAGAAGTCTCCAGCAGAGAATGGACAAAAACCTTGGTGCCACTCTCAGCTTCTCTCCTTCTCAGAGGTCACCTTTTCAGGGAGGCATCCTTGGCTAAAATTTCAACAAACATAGCCACATAGTCCCTTTATACCCCCCTTCTTTGTCTTTTTTACTGTCCTTGGCCCTAGTAATGCATACGCTCCATGGTGGGAGGAATTTTTTTCTCTTTTGTTCTCCCTTATATCCTCAGCACCCAAATCAACACCCAGCACATAGCAGGTGGTCAATAATTGTATCATGAATGAATGAATGAATGAATGAATGAATGAATGAATGAGTGACTAGAGGATCCCATCTGAAATCAGAGCCACCCCCAATCCTGACTTGTCTCCTCCTCAAACCTTACTCTAGGAGTCCTAAGAGTGGAAACCTCTCAATATCTTGCAGTCCTAAACCAACTGCACCCCCTTCAGTAAATAGGGAAGAGGAAACACTCTGGTAAGAACCTATCTAACACAGTAGAAGGATGTGCATACCATCTTTCCAGAAAGATGGTACAACCTTCTGGAAGTTCTCTGTTCAGTCAGATTTCCAGGGATCTCTGGTCAGGATGACTGTGGAAGCAGGAGAGGCAGCAGAATGTGTCCTCCTTGCTTAGTTGGCTTTTTAGGATGATCATGTTAAGAAAAAGGACGAAGCAGATCCAAGCTTGGCAGCAAGTGTGTGATAGCAAATGTGCATCTCATTGGTTGGTAGCAGGTCCTAAGCAGGGAACCAACTCCCTGTATGTGTACACCAAAACTGGAAGCTAGAATACGGGGTGTCCTGCGAGAGGTAAGAGGTCCTGCCAAGGCAGAAGAAGAGCTGACGAGGAACAACTGTTCTAAAGCACAGAAGTAGAAAGGACTCATAGAGCTGCTAGGGGAGGGGCCCAGTGGCTAGAACGTGTGCTGATGTAGGACCACATGCTTGGACTATCTTGACCACATGCTTGGACAGGCAGGAAGTCTAGAGGGGTCAGTGACAGGTAAGGATGAGCAAGAGAAGGACAGGACTGGGCCAGCATGGGGCTGTGTCCAAGGCACACACATAGGCTGGGTCAGTTCAGAGCAGAATGGCAAGGACTAGGACCTGAATGTGATCAAAGGGAGAACAGTGGAAGGGGCTGTGTCCAGTGCGGGGGTAACACCGCTCTGACTGGACGCAGGTCTCTCAGGATGCGGGGCCCTGCGGCTCCCAGCACCTTCTCCTGGGTCTCACAGTGTCCCTGGGGCCACTGCACAGGGAGCCAGGGGACAGCCTATATGCCCCTCACCTGCTTTCTTGTCTGTTCTTTACAGGAGAGTGTGGACTTGGGGGAGATCATGTTCTCCTTATGCTACCTGCCCACAGCAGGCAGGCTCACCCTCACGGTGATCAAATGCCGCAACCTCAAGGCGATGGACATCACAGGCTATTCAGGTACCTCTCTTACCCACATGGCCTGCCTCAGGCCTTCTCTAAGTTTAGGAGTTAGAATTTGGAAGCTTCCAGGAGAAAGGGGCAAGAACTGCCACTGTTCTTAGAATAGGAGCGCCAGCTCCCTAGACCAATTGGCTTCATCAGGATTCAGCTTCTGCCACTTCCTGTGTAAAGACTATGGTTTCTACATTAGTCAGCTTTTCACCGCTGTGACAAAATACCTGAGACAATAAATTTAAAGAAAGACAGGTTTATTTTGGTTTATGGTTTCAGAGGATTCAGTCCACGGTCACTCTTGCTTTCGCTCTGTGGCAGCACAGGAGGACATTGTGTGAGAAATGTGTGACAGAGGAGGCTTCATGGTGGCTAGGAAGTGAAGAGTGAGAAAGAAGAGGGCCCAGGGCCCTAATATCTCCATCAAGGGCACATCCCCAAGCCCTAACTTTCTCCCCATAGGCCACACCTCCCAAAGGTTCTGTGGCTTCCAGTAGCACCACAGGCTAGAGACTGAACCTTTAGTACATGGACCTCTGGGGATAGTTAAGATCCACATTCTACCAATACCTCATCCGACAAGGGGAATGATCCTACCATACACTTATTGCATTCAGAATAAGTGAGATCATCCAATAAATTTTCAGCATTGTCCTGCCATATAAGCATTCAATAAGTATTAGCTAAAAGAATAAATTAAATAAATGCTTCAAAAGTTTAAAAGTACTAGCTATTGTTCTTATCCTCTTAGACAAGAAAAAAGAATCTGAAGGATGTATATAAGAGACAAAAATACTAAGAACAATTTTCCCAATTGATACAGGGCCCTGCGACTTGCCACAGAATTATGTCAAGTTGAGTGCGTCAGTTTTCGCAGGTCCACACAGGCCAAAGGCAGCAGCCGTGCAGACTGTCGCAGGAGCAACTCCTCAGAAAAGCAACGTGCATTTACGTTTGAGTTTTCCTGCAGGGCCCCCAGCCCCAGTCTCAGCACCAGGAGAGTGGAGCTATGGCAGATGACAGTGATGCAAGAAGTGTTTAGGGGTAGCTGCGAGCTGTGAAGGTGTGTGAATTTGGAGGCAACAGAAGAGTAGCTTGAGGCCCAGACAGCTGCTTCCCCTGCTGTCCATTCAGACTGCCCCAGGTATAAGTAGGGTCACAAGCACAAAGAAGGCTGGTAGAGCCCTCTGGGCTGCCCTTAGGACAGTGAACAGGAGAAAAGACTCCGCTTCTCCAGACCCAAGGGACCCTTTTGCTGATGCCTGAAACCAACTTAAAGCCACTCAGGAAGTGCCTCTGAACTTGACCACAATGACACTAAAGAGTTCTCCCTCTATTTCCTTCATATGTATTATTATTTACATCTTGGGAAACTCCCTTAGAATAATCACAGTTGCCGTAAAGAGGCAACAGTGAAGCTGAAAACATCTGGGCTGCAGCGGAAAACCTCTGAGCTCAAGTGTAACATCCTCATTTGGGGGAAGAAGAGCAGGGCAGGTTCAAGCCTTGGAAACTAAAGCTGCAGGGAATGGGGATGGCAGACACAGTAGGAGTGCAGACCACAGTCTGGCCTCCCTCTGAGCCTTGACTCCGGCGGCCAGTTGTCTCGGTGACACTGCCCTTGCCTTGCAGGCTGCGAGCCCCATAGCAGGCCCCCTCAAGCTCCTTGCTCTGCGGAAGCTGCTGACACATATCAGGACATAGCAAAGAGCTTACAGAATCTCTGCTGACATGCAGAAATTCCTCAGAGCAGCAGAGCAGCTTCCCCCAAAACACAGCCAATGTGGATTTCATTTTTAAGAGCAAAGTAAGTGTGTTCTGGCGATAGAAATTCATTGAGGACTCTCCAGGCTGTGAGGGAAATAGGATTTTGCTTCCCTAGTCCCCACACTATCTTCTCTGGTGTAATTAAATTGATGTGCTGGAGAGAGAGCACCCACAGTAAAGCCACAGGTAATCGCAAAGGCCATTCCAAGTCAGAAGGCTGGGGGTAGGACTCTTTTTATGTTAAATTCCAGTCTGTTCACAGTTGCCCCTCTTTGGGTGGTCTTGAATCTGAGCTAGCTTCTGAAAATTCAGGGGTCCTCTTTGTAGCCGAGATGTTGTCTGTTTTGCTCCCTGATGTAGGTAAGTATATGGCCCAGTGCCTGGAGCACATAAGCATTCATTAAATATAGATTAATGAATGAATGAATGAATGAATGAATGAATGAATGAATGAATAAGTAAATGAATGAGTTTATAGCATGAGGACCCTGGCCTGAGGGCCATGCAATCGATGGGTACACACCAGAGCCCTCTCACACGGTAGCTTGAGTTTGAAATTGCTTTCAGCCCAGACTTGTTTGAAGTTGGACTAACGTGGGGGTGAGTGGAGCTTATTAATCCCTGTTTAGCTTTATGTGGCACTGAGTTCTAAAACTGAGGCTCCTCTCATTTTCCTCAATCTGTACCACCAGCCCAGAACCTATTCTCCAGGCCTGCCTGCTAGAAGCATGCTAATAAAAATGACACACAGTAGTAGTAAGGGCCCACATGCTACGAGAACTTGGTGACTTAACCCACAGCTGCTCCATACCGCTTAGCCAAGAAGGTGAGCTTAGGTGTCAGACATGAGTTCACATCTTAGACAAGTGTCTAATCCTTCTATGCTTTAGATTTCCTCCTTAAGAAATGGGGATGTCAATGGCAAGTATTCCATAGAGTTGATGTTTAGATATCTTTATGTATGTACATTTCTTAGCACAGTGCATAGTACATACCAAATGCTCAATTCTGAAGGCTCCTAGGGCAGTGAGGCTGAAGTACACTGCCAGGCTTTGTGCCACCTCAGCCAGAGAGAGAAACAGTCCTCAGAGATCCTCTGGGGCCGGCATCCTACCAGACACCATGAGCTTCAGCCCAGAGGACCCCAGGGAGCAGTCCTCTCCGCTTAGCTTAGCGAGTGCCCGGGAGAGCGTGGGTTCCTACTAGGGAAGTGTACCCACTGAAATTTATAGATAATCGCATATGCCTGGTGGGGTGAACAGAGCTGAGGAAAGAGGCATTTGCCCAATGGCCCATGAGCAGAGTAGCTCTGCCTATATTTTTCCAAGCTTCTGACATGGGAATTTCTCTGAGTGAGAGTGTGTGGAAATGGGAATAGCAGAACAATTGGGGTGGATGCTTTCCCAGGCAACATGCACCCTCAGGGTTCAGTGCCAAAAAAAGGTCCTGGGGCCAGTTCTTCCCACATGTCTGCCTGACCTGGGGTAGATTCAAAGGGCCTGGAGCCTGCGGAAACTGGAAAGCTTTCTCAGACAGGTTCTGGAAACTCTTTTCACCTGTTTGACTGAAAACTCTCCCAAGAAGGGGTGCTTACAAATGGGTAGTCAGAGACAGCGGGTTGGTTAAATTCTTCCTGGTCTCCCCAGTTCCTCCACAGACTGTACAATCCCCTCGGTTAAAGTACAGCTGCCACTGTCACACTGGTTAGTCAGCAGCTCATTTAGTTGCTGCGGAAGGTGCAGAGCCTCCAATGAGGTGCTGCAGTTTCCTGGTCCCCGGCACAGTTGCGCACTCGGCTGCCTCGTGTAGAATTTCGGGAATGTGAGGCCCAAGTGGGTGCTCAGGTGTCCAGATAGCCCGCGTGAGCCCTGGCTTCTGGGCAAGAAGGTGCCTCCGCCTATCAGCATCTCAAGGGCTATTATTACGGTGAGCTGCCCTCTTGTTTCTCGAGCTGGGTGACATAAATACTAATTATGATGGCGACCAAGACACCTGTGCTTGGAGACACAATGCGTGTCACTTCATTTGGATGAGTAGAAAATTTCAGGGTAGAAAGATGACCATGAAATACCTATTCAGGAATCTATAAAAGAGACAAGATTGGGAGGCACAGCAGAAGTTTAATAAAAAGACATTGCTGTGCAGGATGGACAGCATCCAAGATCCCACTGAGAAATGAAATGTCAACCAGCTGCCCTGAGTCTCAGGGGCCTGCCCCGCTCTGTCTCCCAGCCATAGCTCCTTCCTCCTCTGCTGTTCAGAAGTGAATAGGGACAGCTTCAATGAGGCAAAGAGCAGGCCCTCTTCGTGATGCCGAATGGAAATGAGATTACTGGGACAATGAGAGTCAAAATCATGTTGTCAGGCGGGGAGGGGCACGAACAGCAATGTGATTGTTGCTCTTCATTTTCTTCTGACATGCAGCTATTCTCTGAGCATCACGGAGTTCTATTTTTACCCCCTTTATCTGTTGATTAAATATCCCAGAGACAAGGACTCCATGTAGGTGAGAGACAGTGTCATTGTTCAACACCCTCAGGAGCCAACCACCGAGCCATGGTGGAGCTGGAATTTAGAACTGGGAAGTGTTTCTCCACAGAGAAGAGTCCTGTCTGAAGTGGCTTCAGCTGCCCTATTAGAGAAAGTCCATTAGGCACTCTCCCAAGAATACTGAGGTAGCTCAAGACTGTGTTCATTAAGCACGAGCATCCTCAGAGACAGGTGTGCTACATAAATACAAGGTGGTGTAATTATTTTAATAAGCCACTGATACCATCTGATGAGCAGCAGTAGGTCTGGGGCTTCCATCCCTCTGCTGCAAATGATGCCGGAAGACATCTGTTTAACACGCTCCCTTCCCTTTGCACTGCCCCTGTTGGCGCAGATCCCTATGTCAAAGTGTCCCTGCTTTGTGATGGGCGGAGGCTGAAGAAAAAGAAAACAACCATAAAGAAGAACACGCTCAATCCTGTCTACAATGAGGCCATCATCTTTGACATCCCCCCAGAGAATATGGATCAAGTCAGCCTGCTCATCTCAGTAATGGATTATGATCGGTAGGTATAGTCCCCAAGGGACGTGACCCTCTGTGCCACTCCTCTAGTCCAATTCAGTGTCAGGCTCCTTGACCTATGGTTTTGGGCTCAGATGGCTTCTGAACTCAAATCTGGCTCCACCAAAGAAGGGCACAGGAGTTTGAGGAGGCTTATGGACTCCCCATTAGCCAAGGGCTTCATTGTCTTTCCTAGCTATTCCATCTGAAGTAACTTCACGCGCATCACTGTCCCCAGAGTCCTGGCAACCAGTGCTAGCGTCTGTTCTGTTAAATGCCTTATCTTCTCCGTTTCTGTGGCTACTTCTGATCTTACTCCAGGATGGCTGTGCACTCTCTGCAGACTAAGGACGCACCTTCTGGGGTTCCTTCTTCTGGACCTGCCCAGAATAACTATCAGTGGTTCCTATTCTCTCAGCTCGTCCTAGCACTCTCAAGACCTTTCCTAATCTGGAGCCAGCGTATCCATCCAACCTGATTGCCCCTTTCTC